AGTTATAAGAAAGACAGTTTTGGAATGCGACTGCTCTGTAGATGAAAAATAAGTGGAATGAACGAATGATCCGAGGCAATAAGTTGTCCAATGCTGTTACACGGCTTGACAGCAAAGTTTTGACAGATTGATGCAGATTGTTTTCACAGGTTTAAGACTTTTTTTATTAGTTGCAAATTTTTCTGGTCTGTCCGAATTTCTGCTAGTAGAAAAGATGGTTGTTCTTTTGAATTAAAACTAAAATCCGTTAACCATTTTCATGTACTGTCTTGAATAAGATAGGTGGATTTGTCATAAAAATATGAAGAAGAAGAATCATACAGTTTTTTATTTGACTCTATCTGTCCTTGGACGATAACACTAGCAATGAAAGATCAAATTGTTTTTAACGAAAAAATCTCACTATTTTTTTGATTTTCCGGCCGCTTATAAAAAATTTCTAGGTTGGAGGGATTTTCGAGTTCTGTTTGAATTCGGGCGAAATTGTCCTTGAAGTCAAAACTTTTCCTTGGTTTCGTAGTTAAACGAGCCTATCAGAATCTGCGAGCGGCCGTGGGCACCTGAAAAGCGGTACAGGGACTTAGCAAGTATTTTCGTATGTTGCATGCAGCTTGGTAATCATTTGTTGCAGTACCTGAGAAGCATTTCTCAAATACTTGATTTTCGTGTTGAATCTCTAACGGGTACTTGCTAATTATTTGAGGAACTGATTGGCCAAGTAGTTGACAAGAAGATAAAGGAAATTTAAGTACATTTCTTGGCAAGTACTTTGATTTACTTGCGAAAAATTCAAGGGGGAAATAGCGGACTCCTGGACTTCTGAAGTCTAGAAGTACATAGAAGTATTGCTATTGTATGAAAGCCAAAGAAATTATTGTAACTTGCAGAGATATAGATCTTCAAATCAGAGGAACTTACGCGTGCTTACAAAACCTGATCGCTAACGTGCTGAAGACCTCAGCACTCCGTCCAATGGTCCGGAGTGGCGAAGTGTTTTATTTTCTTTTAGAATAAAACAGTGATATTTTTCTCAATATTCGTCCGAAAAAATAGGACAATCCTGTTCCCAGAACAGAACAAATCTGTTCGTTTATTGGGAAAATTTCCCTACAAACGAGGCAGTTGTGTTCTGTTCTGCGAATTCTTTTCCCACAGACAGAAGCTTTTTGTTCTGCTTGTGGGAACAGCGATTTCTGGGACGGTTCAGTTCAATAGAGTTTCCTTAAGCCCACGGCACTCCAAACCGGTCCAAGCCACTCCGGGTGGCTTGATGATACTCATTGGGACTCCAGGCGGCTTCATGGGATTCCATGGGCCTCCAATAGACTCCTGGAGCCCATGAATCCGCTATTTCCTCTCTGGAAAAATCAGGAATGTTTGACAAAACTTGCGAGAGTACTTGAACCAGTACTCATATGCAGGTACATTCACTGAGGTCTGCTTCGACACTATGTAGTTTTCCAAAGCTAAAAGAATAATCATAAGTGACACATTCACATTGGACGAAAAATTTGATGCTGCAGTTAATTTGGATTGAAAAAAAAGATGTTTAAAAGACATTGAATAATATACTCCTGCACATTTAGCGATCTGATTATGGTGATGGTTAAACTATACTGACATACACTGATTATTTATTCATTAGTTGTTTCCCTAGCGTACACTTGTGTACTGCTTTGGTTCAGAGCTTTAATTTCGGTTATAACTTTACAATATGCATCTTCAAATTGCATATTGGGGAAATCAATATAAAATCGACCACTGGCAATCATACCTAGCCATCCATCTGGACGATATCCTGCTTTCATTATAAGTGGTATTAGATAACATCGTCGTTCGTATGCATAATGTGCCTCTGACGAACAGTATGAACTTTGCTTGTACGAATCGGACATACAGATTAATATTATTTTTGAATTTTCAATTGCCTTAGCCATCGCATCCAATGTTGACGAATGCATATTGTATCGATCAAGCCATATGCGATAATTATCTTTCAAGATTCGGTCATGTATTTCATAACATAATTCTTTATCGGCATGTGAATAGCTAATTATTATGTCGTACTGAAAATGCTTATCAACGTGCACATTTGTTGTGAGAACGTTTATATCCCTAGTACACTCTAAAAAAAAAGGTTTTCTACGGAACCTAAAAAGGATCTTCCCGCGGATACACGGGAAGATCCTTTTTTGGTTCGGTGTAAAACAGGTTCCGTATCAAACCTTCTTTCCAGAAATGAAACAAAGGTTTC